TTCACATGGTGTCTATAGATTTCTGCACTGTGAATTTATTATTTTCTCTCTGTAATTAATAAATAGCTTATGGGACCTACTTTAGGATATAAATATCTTGTTTCTCAAATGTGACAAAGTTTCATAAAGAGACATCAAATTCACAGTAGGAGTCCTGGCTAGATCTCCTTAAGTATTTAAACTGATTTAAATATGGCACTATTTAAACTGCTGCATTCCAAGGAGTCTATACTTGAAGAAAATGAATTTTTAATCATTATTGCTTTCCTCTCAGCATCCATAACATGAAGCAACACAGCACTGGTCCAACAGCCGAAGCTCTGAAATCACACAAGTCAGGTTCACTATTCAGCAAAGCTACCTACCACCTATAGGACATGAGAGGCAAGCTACTTTATATTCTTTTTTTTTTTTGGTTTTTCTCCGGTACGGGGAACCGAACTCACGACCTTGCGCTTGCCAGGCAGGCGCTTTTGCCGCTGAGCTAAATCCCCAGCCCCCAACTTTATATTCTTGAGCTTTAGTTTGTTTCTCAGAAGAAAAAGAATAATGCCAGCCTCAAAGAGCTGTTTGACATCTCAATGAGTTCATGTAGCCTGAAAAGCACCCAGAACTTTATGCAGCACAGAGGAGATACTCATTAAATGCTGGCTATAAATTAATAATAATGAAGATATTGTAGTTCTGAACCCTGATGAAATTTCTTTCTTGGGTGGGGACATTCTGCCATATTATACCTGTATATTGTTGATCCAGCCTAAGGTCAGAGCTGATTTAAAAACAGAAAAGCCCAGCCCACACTTTCTCTCCAAGAAATTAAACTGTGCGGTACATGGACCCACATTCATGTCAGCTCTATTTTAGTGTAGACTGTCCATCTAGAAAACTAGTAAGATGATTCCAGAGCCTTTTATTCTGTCAAGACTGGAGTGCCACCATGAGGTCAGCTTTGGTGCTCTCAATATTTCCAGGAATTCTGTCCTGATTACAAAAATATTTGAGTAGTCACGTTTACATTGCATTTTACTTACATTGAAGACTGCAAAGTACAGCCTGTTGACTCTTGACATAAGAAAAGTATGAAAAGGATAAGAATTTGGATTTCTTAGCACTTGATTTAGATTTTTAAAGGACTAGAGTATCAGTATATCTTGAGAATCTGAAATTTAAAACTTAGCCTCAAAGAAATGAAGTTTTTGTCTCACTGTGTGAACAGTTGCTGGGTTTATCTACAGCCAATCATCCTCTCCTCAATTTAAATTTAATTAAGACCCCAGAGGAATGGTTCAGAAGTGTCTATTCTCTTTTCTGGAAGAAATAATAGTACCATTTTCCAAATGACTACTAGAAACTCCATTCAGATACTCTGGTTTCTCTTCAGATCACAAAAATCTTTCGCCTTAGAAACTCCATTCAGGTATGCCACAAATCTCCACCTCAACCTATTCAGAATCATGCTTATTATATTGCCCTCATACAATATAAACATTATATTATCTGCCAATATTCCCTACCTCCATGAATAGATATACCCTCCCCCAGTCACCTGAGTCTGAGACCTGGGAGTAATTCTAGTTTTTTCCCTTTTCCTCTCCTCCCAAATCCAATCACATTACCTCTTTAATGTGCTTTAGGTCTGATGCTTTACACTTTTCCCAATGCGCCTTCCTTCTTTTGTCACTAGGGTACTATTGCAATGTTCTCATCTTCTTGACTTTGGACCTGCCTCCCTTCATGGTGCTGTAATCTTTTAAAATTACAAAGTGTTTATAACATTACATTTAATGTTTATTCCACCCTTGAATGGCTCTCAGTGCTACAAGTGTACACGTGAAGTCTTTCACAAGCAAGTCCCTACCACCTGTCCAGCTCCATATCTTGTTGCATTCTCACTTCTAGCTTTGTTGAACCACTAGTAGACCCTCAAACACAACAGACTGTTTCTATGCCTCCTTAGAATTGTTCTGTGTTCTCTCTGCTTAAATACCCTTACCATCTTTGTCTATAACATCATGTTTTTAAGGCTATGCCAACTTTATCTTCCCTAGAAAAACCTTCCCTAATTATCAACAAAGCCCACCCCATCCTTCCACATCAGAGTGACCACTCCCTCTATACCTGGAACTTATACTTCTTTTTTTGCTGTGTTTGAAAAGTTCTCTATCCCTAGCAGACTCTAAGCTACTTGAGAGTGTGATATCTGTGTAATTCATCTCAGCCTCCTTAGGCCCTGGTCTGTGATGGACACACTGTAAAAACACCACCACCAAAATTTGTTGACTGGTAAGTAGGGAGTGGGGAGGAAAACATTTTCCAAAACACGCTTTTAGAGCATAAAGTGATCACTCTGTTCGTAACAACAAGCTAACCCAACCAACTGCCAGTGCAATGTTAGAGACGCTGTGTTCTCACTCGCTACACTTGAGAAGCCATGTGTGTCTACCAGTCAGACCATACTAGTTTTTGGAGAAATTCCAGTTGTATAAACCCATGATTCAGTTTCCTCACCACCTTTATTGACAATGTTTTCAAATAGTTCTGTTTTGTTTTTTTTCTCTGAGAGGAAATGGTCCCTGAATGAGTCAGCTAGGCACTGTCAAGACAGAAAATGGTGTAAATCTGACAGTTCCTACTTTTCTTCATTTGCTCATTTAGCCAAAATTTACTACAAAGCATCAGAGCAAAAGATACATAGGTCCTTCCCTAAATTCATAAGGTAGGAAGTTTTGGATGTCTTTATTTTATTTTATTTCACTTCATTAATTCCACAAGGTTTACTGACAAATTACTATGAAATGGTAAAGTACATAGTACATTTTAAATATGCAATATAATCCCTTCCTCAAACGAGGAAAGCAAGTTGGGTCATTAATATAATGCAGAGTACTCTTCCTTATAGAAGAGTACTCTGTAGGGGTTTCCTTCCCCTTCTCGGGTCCTAGGATACCACACTTCTATGGAACCATCAATTCCAGGTTGCTTTTATTGGAGGGGAAGGAGAAGCAAAACTCTGCTATAATCCTCCATAATATTTACCTGACCAGACTTTAACCCTGGCTATTAACCCTAGCTAAGTTCTCTTCCCACCATTATCAAAGAGCTGAATCATGATAATTGTCTTTTTAAATTAATTATCCTAAACTTGAACATAATTGTAAGTAAAATAAGTCAGACACAGAAGCTCAAATATCACATGGTTTCTCTTACATAAGAAATTATATACGGGGAAAGAGAAAGAGACAGAGCTCAAGATAGAAGAGACAAATAGGAAGTAGGGAGAAGTTCAAATACTTCCCCAAATATATAGTCTGTTATTTCAAAAATATTTCAATACATATACTTCTTTTTTTTTTTTTTCCAGTACCAGGAATCGAACTTACGACCTCGTGCTTGCCAGGCAGGCGCTGTGCCGCTGAGCTAAATCCCCAGCCCCTCAATACATATTCTAATTTATTTCACCTATACTAGTTTATCTTAGTTCGTTGAAGAGAGAGAAAGAGAGAGACAGAGAGATAAGAAAAAAGAGGGAATCAGGGACTGAATCCATCTGAAGGAACAGTCAATTCACATCCCCCATCTCACGCTCCCTCCACACTTGCTCTCCTTGAATGCAAAGGAATTATACATTTGAACTCACCCTCTTTGCTAAACATATATAACTAAATGTTGAGAGGTCAAATGCTTATACAATGTTATTCCACTGTACCATTTTTATGTTGATGACTTCCAAATTTATTTCCCCAGCCCTGACCTGTTTTATGAGTTTTAGACTCAGAACCAACTACCTACTTGGATATCTCCACTTCAAGTCAACTAAGTATCTTAATGTGTGCGGAACATAACAATTCTACTCTCCATCAACCCAGCCAGTAACATAAGCTATCTGTGACTCCTCCTTTTCCTTTGCCTGTGCATGGAATCTATCAGGTATATTAAGCTTTGCCCCAAACTATATTCCAAATCTATTCATTCATACAGGTACCAATCTAGATCAAACCATCATCATTATTTCTACTTTGATAGTCTTCCTGTTTCTATCTAGACTTTCTGTGTCTGTTCTCCACACAGCCAGAGTAACTTTTTCTGAAACATTCATTCGTTTATCGAACATTTTTTTTTTTTTAGAGTGCACAACAGGTGTGTTCAATCTGTGGCCTGGGGGATGGATAGGCTGTGTTACATTATGAACTATGTTATATATTTTATATGTGGCCCAAGACCATTCCTCTTCACTCAGTGCAGTTCAGGCAAACAAAGCATGTCAGTAGGCCACTGGTGTGCAAAATGGGGTTAGCACAGTGCAGCAGAGTAGACCGCCACACTCAAAGAGGCAATTCAAAAGCAAATAGTTTTTTATAGTACAAATGCAATGAAGAAAATAAAAATAAAATGTGACAAATTAAATCATGTTGCTCCCTCTATAAAAATTTTTGAATAGTTTCCTAGAGTGTTTAGATCTCAGTCCAAATTCCATGACCTTGTTACAAGACGTTGTGAGACTGCCCCTCCAACCTTACCCTTACTTTTCCTCATTACATCTTGCTTCCGGTCACCTCAGCCTTCCTTCTATTCTCACAGCGTTCCAAATGTTTTCCATTCTTCAGACATGTGTTTGCCCGATCTGCAATCCTGTTCCCAAATCTTGCAAAGCTCCAGTATCAGTATCACTCAAGCAGAGCGCACTTGACTAATGTGACTAAAAGTATCCCCCCATTTCCTTCTCTATCCAGCCACCTTTTTACTTGCTTCTAGTATCGGTTTCACAGTAACCTCTGTCCCCACTCTAATGTAAGCTTCCATAGGGGAGGAATCTTGGGGTGTTCTTCACTAAACTCTCCCTAAAAGTCCAGAATAGCGCCTGGCGTAAAAAGAATATCGCTATCTTTTGAAGGACTTCAAAAAGGACTGACTACAAGCCACAAAATCCGCCTCTTCTCAGGTGACAGCCAAGCTCCGCCTCCCGGAGCCACTTCCGTTCGCGCTTGAGCGTCCGGCCGTCGGGGGAGGAAGTCGTCTGCGCAGGCGCTCTGGGACCGTGAGGATTTCTGGGTAAAAATGGATGTCCATGATTTGTTTCGCCGGCTCGGCGCTGGGGCGAAATTTGACGTGAAACGGTTCTCGGCCGATGCAGCTCGATTTCAGGTACTTTGCGCAGGGGACCGAGGCGAGAGGAACGGAAAAGGAGCAGGATCTAGTAGACAGGCCGGCAGCTGACGGAGCAGCCGGCGTTCCCGGAGACCCCTCGGCCTGCCTTTTGACTACCCGTGGGCATTTCCCCGTGTTTTGGGTTCAGCTTGCCACGCAGACTTTCCAGGCACAGGACTTCTGGGTGACTCTTTTCAGAGCCCTTGATAAATTGAGCTGAGCCTAGCACGGAAGATCTCTTTTCCTGCTTCTTAGTTTAGCGAAAGCAAAGTTGAAAATTTTCTTTCAAAAGGAAATTTCTCCGAACTTGTGGAAAGGCATTTGGAAAACAAAAGTGGGGAAAACAGATTTTTGTCTTTATACTCTACCCAGGTTTGACTTGGTATGCCTCTAGCTGCGCTGCATGTGGTTCTTTGTATTGCTTCAGTCGAGCATGTTAAGTAGCCAATGAAAAGAGCAGTTTACACGTGGGCGATCTTACATATAGGGAAGTAGTGAGAAGTCAATTGGGATTTAGTTGTGGGAAATCTTGAATGTCAAGCTGGCTATAAGGGAACAGAAGTGGTTGTTGTTTGGGTTTTATTTTGGGGGGGTGTCTTTTGTGCTACATGTGTTTCTTCTCACTGCATTACAGTGTGATTATTTAAAGAGGTTAAACTCAGGAACCACATTGTTGGAATCATAATGCTCAGTCTTCCTGCTGATAGTTTGGAGACCTTGGTCAAGTTACTTAACTTCCTAATATCTCGGTTTTCTCATCGGTAATACTGCTGTTTACCTTGTAGGGTTACTACGAGGAAGTAATTTGATATATATAGATGTATCTAGATATCTAGAGGTCTACATACATCTATATATATGAACATGCTGGGAAATCTGCTTGACATATAGTAAGCAGATATTATTGTTGTAAGATCAGGAAAGGTGTCATTTTGGATTCCATCTATCCAAACATACTTATCAGCTTGACCGATATTTGGTGGAAAGGTTAAAAAAAAAATGGGGAGTCATTAGAGCCATTTCCTTAGTAATAGTCCTGCTTGGAAGGCAGCACTGCTATTTTGTCAATAAATTTAATTTTTAATTTCTTGGATTTTAGATCGGAAAAAGGAAATATGGCTCTGATGAGGTACTGCAGAGTCTGGACTTCTTTGGAAACAAGAAGTCTGTCCCAGGTGAGTGTGGTACAACACAAACACACCAGGAGCTCCAAAATGAAGCGAAGAAAGAAGAGAGCCTGACTGAAAGCAAGAGGGAGCCGAACAAGAAAAAGAGGAAGAAGATGATTTCAGGTTAGTGTTAAATTTCTGTAGGTTTTTTTTTTTTTTTTCTGCCTTTTTTAAATTACAAAATAGTCTGAGCCTGTAAGTCAGTCAATATACAGCCGTTTGTCAGTTGATGTCATTCGACTTATTTCTACGGACGTGCCATTATAAATACTACTATGGTGTAGTGCTTGTATGTATACATCCTTTTGTACAGGTGCTATTAATGCTGTAGACCAGCATCCCAAGAGCAGAGAACACTTGATGAAAGGGTGTGTACACTTTTTGTCAACAAACATACTACAAAATGATTTCCCGTACCTTTGTCAATCCTGGATATTACTGGTCTTAAATTTTTTGCAAGTTTAATGACTGAAAGTACTTTTTATTTGTATTTCCTTGAGTGGGTATTTGAGCATCTCATGTTTTACTAGACAAATAGTGTCTTTTTCTTTGTTATATGTATTAAGTTTCCTAGCCATCTGCCTTTTTTTATAAATAGTTGAGTTATACAGTGATAACAAGTATATTTCCTTCCCACTTTATGTCCAGTTCCCTATTTCTCCAGAGGCAACCACTGTTAATCAATTTCTGTTGTATTTTTGTAGAGACATTTTATTCACATATATTAGTGCATCCCTTTAAAAATAGGCTGTATTTACAAATAATTATACATTCTATTAACATGAGTACTCTACATATTTTCTATTGTGAAGCCTCCCTCCACCTTTTTTTAAGCAAACCAAATAATTTTTTTATTTTTTATGGTTTGTTTTTTTTTTTTTTTGAGGCAGGATCTCACTATTTAGTCCAAGCTTGCCTTGAACCAGCTGTGTAGCACAGGCTGGCCTCAAACTCTCAGTGATCCTGCCTCAGCCTCCCAAGTGCTGGAATTATGGGTATCCATCACCATACCTACCTACAGTTTGGATATTTAAAAAAAAATCCTGCTTCACAAAGACAGAAAATCAGAATCTATGGTAAAAATCATGAGACAACATTCTTACAATGACTCTGCAGTGATGTATTTTTGAGGTTGGAATCAGTAGTCAATGCACTTCTTGTTCATTTTTTCATAACATAGTATCCCATCATACTTTTCATAACTGAATTAAAGGGCTAGGGGTGTAGTTTAGTTATAAAGTACATGTTTAGCATGTGGGTGGCCCTAGGTCAATCCCCAGTATCCTACCATCCTTCTCTGTGATGGACATCTAATTTGTTCTCACACTTCTGCTGTTGTCGTGTTATAATACATGTTTCTGTTTATGTTTGTACATGTGAGTACGTATATCCAATAAATTCTTATAAGTGGAATTGCAGAGCAAACAAATAGATTTAAATTTAAATATTGTAAAATTATCTACCAGAAACATTGTTATTAATAGGAAGTACAGTGTTTTGTCCAGTGTAATATAGTGCAGTATCTCCATACATTGTAGGAATGATCCATACTTGATTTGACAGTTTTTTTTTTTATGTACCAGGAATCGAACTCAGTACCTTGCACTTGTCAAGCGGGTGCTTATGCCACTGACCTGCATTCCCAGCTGATTTGCCTGTTCTGAGGGATATTTACTTTGTTTCCATACTTTTACTGTTGTAATGAAAAAGTCATTCTCCTCCCCTGGCTTTAAGGATGTTGACAACACTTTTCCCCATGATAAATAAGAAAAATATGCTACAAACTTAGGAAAACAATTTGAATGTTAGGCAGATAGGTACTACAGCTCTTTAGCAACAAATGTATACAGGTCCTGATCTGTGACTTTTATATAGTCATGAGTCTCCTTTTAATTGGAAAATTCAAGATGTTGTGATTTAGTAATGATTTGGATCTATTAGTACCAACTATTTTATAAAAAGAACATATCCTTTTAAAGTCATTCTTTGCTATACTCCCCAGCAATATATGAGAACTTTTCTTTTTATAAAGTTTCTCTTTGTATATTTTGCACCCTTTTTGTACTGTACTAAATCCAGCCGTTTCTTATTATACCTTATATATTAAGGTAATCAGCTCTATGTCTAGCATATATATCCAGATTTTTAGAATATGTTTACAGTTTGCTGTGTGTCACTTGTCTTTTTTCTTTTTTGCCATTTTATGGGTCGAATCTACATTTTTCTTTTTGGCTTCCCTCCCTTTGGCAGGAGCAAGGGAACTTCTGACATTTTTTTTTTAATTCTCCTATGTTTCATTTGAAACTTCATTTTGTTACACTGAAATCTTTGATTCTGGGGAATTTTATTTGGGAAAAGAAATGAACAGAAAACTAAGTTAATATTTTTCCCAAGTAGCTAATTATCCTAATGCCGTATCTTGATAATCTTTTTTCCCTATTGAAGTGCAACATCTATTGTTTCTATATATATTCAACAATATCTATTGTTTCTATATATATTCTATATATATTTCTATATATATTCAGGTCTATTTTTGGACTGTGTTCTCTCTCATTTATTGTATATTTGCATATCTGTACACCAATTCCAGCTTATTTTATTTACTGTGACTTTTTGAGAATATTCAGTACAGTGATGGTGCATACCGTGTTAACTGATTGAGAAGCTTATTTTTTTCCTCAGAATGATCTATTAGTATAATCTCAATTTATATCCCAGCAGGCTTGCTTTTTTTTTTTTTTTTTTAATAGAAATTAACAAAGAACAAGACTTAGCTGGATGTGGTGGTGCATGCCTGTAATCCCAGCACTTATGAGGCTGAGGCAAAAGGATTGCTGGGAGTTTAAGGCCAGCCTGGGCTACATAGTGAGTTCAAGGCCAGCCTGAACTACAGAGTGAGACTCTTTTCTCTAAACAAAACAACAAGGCTTACTATAAAATTACACTAATCAAGGTGGTTTGTTTCCAGAGAGATATCTATGTAGATCAAATGAAGAGTCCATACACCAGTACTTGTATATGTACAGTTAGTTTTCAGCAGAGGCACTCAAGCATTTCAATAGAGAAAGTTTTTTTCAACAAATTGTTCAGAATTTATATGGAAAAAAAAAGTGAACATTAAGTCTTATTTCAGACTACTCCCAAAATTAATATGAAATGACTCAGACTGAAATACAAAATCTAAAATTATAAAATTTTAAGAAGAAAGTAGAAAAGATCTGTTTTGACCTTATATGCAGGGGTTTTTTTAGACCACACACACACACAAACTGTAAGGAAAAAATTGCTATCTTGGACTTCATCAGAATTAAAATTTATTGCTCCTCAAAACATAGCAGTAAGAGAGTATGTAGCTCAGTGATAGAGTGCCTGCCGAGGAGGTGTAAGGCCTGGGTTTGATCCCTGGCACAAAAACAAACAAAAAACTTGTTAAAAGCCAAGTATGGTGGCACACACCTATAATCCTAGCGCTCTGGAAGGCTGACACAAGAAGATTGCAATTTCAAGCCCAACCTGGACATCTTATCAACTTCGCAAGACCCCATCTCAAAATAAAAAGGGCTGGAGGTGAAGCCGGTGAAAGCTCTGGATGCTATCCCCAGAACTGGGTTTAGGGAAGTAGGGGTAGAACAATAAGAAAATGAAGACAGCCACAGTCAGGGGAAAATACTTGCAACCTGTATGTCAAACTCTTATCTAGAAGATGGGAGACTAGAAGACTTGAAGACTGGAGATGTATGAGTGGTAAAAAGATGAAAGGTAGTCAGCATCATTGATCATCAGGCAGATTTAAACTATAATACAGTACTACCACATACCCATTAGAATGGCTAAAAATAAAAAGACTGAATATACCAAGTGTTGACAAGGATGTATAAAAACAGGTTCACATTTGATGGTAAAATGATACAACCACTTTGGAAAATTGTGAATTTTTTTTTTAAGGTTAAACATGTGCCCATAATATTTCAGTTACTCCTTTCCTGGATATTTACCCAAGAGAGAAGAAAAAATGTCTTCAGAAGAACTTGTATTCACGTTTATAGCGACTGTATTTGTAATAGCCCCAAACTGGAAATGACCCAAATGTCCTTCAGTAGATTAAGGATAAACAAATTGTATATGAATACAGCAAGGGGCTGGGGATGTAGCTCAGTGATGCAGTGTTTGCCTGTATATCCATACAGCAGAATACTGTACTCTAATAGTAAAATGTTAAGTCTCAAAATAACTGTTCTGAGTGAAAAAAGCCAGGCTAAATTAGTACATATTTATGATTCCACTTATATAAAATTCCAGAAAAGGCAAACTAATCTATAGTAACAGGAATTAGATTAGAGCTTATCTAGGAATAGAGTGATGAATTCTGAGAGGCCACAAAGAAATTTTGGGGGTGATGAAAATAACTTTGAATGAAAAAAAGAAAAAAAAGAAAATAACTTTGAATGTAATGATGGCTTAATGTATGTATATGTTTATATGTATGTATAATAAATATATATATGCATCAAATTACATACTTTTTTTTTGTCAGTACTGGGTATTGAACCCAGTGCCTGGCACATGTTAGTCAAGTGCTTTGCCACTGACCTATATCTCCAACCCCAGTATATACTTTAAAATATATGTAGTTTATTGTATGTCAGCTATATCTCAGTGAATTTGATAAAAAAAATTTTTTAGTTCTAATACAACTGTTTTCTCATTACTCTTAGACTATTTTAAGTTATTCTTACATAGTTGTTCTCCCATGAAAATATTAAAGTCTAATCCAGTCATCAAAACAATCCTGTCTACTTTTAATTGAATGAGTATAATTTATTGGCACAGGAGAATTGCTATCTTTACCATACTGAGTTGCCTAGAACATTGTGTTTTGTTCACTGCTATTGTAAGTGAAATCTGTCATCCTCTTTACTTTCTAGCTGCCTTTTTGGATGTAAAGAAGCTGGCTACATTATTGTTTATGTCGTTTTTTAATTACCCCCCCCATTGTTTTCAAGTATACAGTCACACATTACATAGCTGAAACCATCAACGAAGAGAAGAGAGTGAGCTTCAGGGCTCTGAGTGGGTCAGCACAATTTGCCTATTTCTAATCTTTATACATCTCATTCCTTTCTCTCACCTCATTGCATATGATAGTACTTCTTCTTGTTTAGTGTGAAAGTGTGGCCTGTTTGGTATACTATCATGCTGAAAATCTTTCATTTTCTAAAAATGTATTTTAGAAATTACTTCTCATGAAGAAGGTACTACTATACAGTGGATGTCATCTGTGGAAGCAAAGATTGAAGATAAAAAAGTTAAAGGAGAAAATAAACTAACTTCAGAGAAGTTGGAAAATCTCCGAAAAGAAAAGGTTAGAAAAATGTCTTAGCCCCAAAAATATGTATTTTTCTGACCTAGAGACTTTTTCATAGGACTTGAGTAATTCTGTTGGTAAAGTGAATATAGTTTTGTTAAGATAGATGATGAACTAATTTGTTTAGGTTTTATTTTAATAAAATGTTAAAACAAAGTAGGTATTTGTACTGTGGCTAAAAAGTTTAAGGTATAATTGATGATATATATGTATATATATAAAGAGAAATGTGTGTGTAATAATTATTACCCTGTTCAAATTTAAAGATTAACAATATGTTTAGAAAATTTTTAAAATTTCTTAACCTGGGGCTGGGGATTTAGCTCAGCGGCAAAAGCGCCTGCCTGGCAAGCGCAAGGTCATGAGTTCGGTTCCCGGTACCGGAGAAAAACCAAAAAAAAAAAAAAAAAAATTTCTTAACCTACTTTGATAGACATAAAATTTGGCTCCTATTCTATGTTGAACTCAGTGGTTTGGAAGGATTTCCTCTTTTAGGGACTAGAGAGGTAGAATTTTTAAAAACCTATCTTACAGCTTAGGAATGAGGATAGTCAAATATAGAATAGCAACAAATGCATCCTAGTAGTGTGTGCTGTACACCTGCCATGTTGCTGATGGGAAGGTATGTGCAGCTCATGTCAGAATCACTGTAGCATGCTATAGTAACCCCTAAACCAGAATTTGACTATCTCTGGGCCAAAAAATGAGGGAAGCAAACTATATTAGGACCATTAGGCTCTGCTTTTGGTTTGTATTTGTTTGCTTATTTTTTGTTTTTTGAGGCAGGGTCTTGCTATGTAATTCAGGCTGATCTTGAATTCAGTATATAGTCAAACTCATGGCGACCCTCCTAGCTCTGCCTGCTCAGTGCTGGGATTACAGGCATACGCCACTGTGCCCAGCTTTCTGCTTTTGGTTTTTATGAGGCGAGTGGGTTTTTTCTCCTAAAACATTGGGACTTGTATGCTAAGCACCATATGAACAAAAAAGATGGATTCAATGAATGTCTTCTACATGTTTTTATATGTATGAATATATGTTATGACCATGACAGTAATAATTAGTATGAATAACACATTACTCACTGTAGCAACACATGAAGAAAGCATAGATGGGTTGCGTTTTTTATGAAGATCATCTATTTATGAAGAGAAATACACTATTTTCTATGGTTTGGGAACTTAGATTTAACCAGAACATTTTGTATACCACTAAGCTTAACCAGAAACTATTACCATTGTTTTACAGCACCTGAGAGTAAATGTATTTATTGGGCCATATCCATGGTGGCCCCTTTGTTTCACTTTTCAGATAAACTTCTTCCGGAATAAACACAAAATTCATGTCCAAGGAACTGATCTTCCTGATCCAATTGCTACATTTCAGCAACTTGACCAGGAATATAAAATTAATTCTCGACTGCTTCAGAACATCCTAGATGCAGGTTTCCATATGCCAACACCAATTCAAATGCAAGCCATTCCAGTTATGCTGCATGTAAGTATGAAGATATAGGATGCCTGTAACATCCCTTTCTCTGTATGTTTGCTCCTTCTCTTCCCTCGCTCAGTGTCTTCCTTTCCATCTTACCTCCTGTGTTAAAATCCTTCACTTGCTTTTAAGGTCCATGTTAAGTGCCTGTGTTCATAAAACTTGTCTTAATCACTACAACTGTAACTGATCTTTCTCCTGTATCAGTACTGTTTCCCTGCCCACCAATTCTCCATGGTTCTTATAGTGTGTTTTTTCTCCTAGAACATTTAAACCCTTTGAGGATGGGTGCTGTGTTTTGTCTTTTCCTTCTTTGTTGAGTTTATAGTGCACAGAAGCTATTTCAGAAATATAGGTGCTTCTAAAATTTTCATACATAACCCAACTTAGTCTCTTTCCCAGTACTTTGTATTATTGAAGGATACTTTACTTCAATAAGATGTACAAATTTTATGAGTTCCAACAATTACCATTCCAATGAAAATATAAAAACATTTCTGTTCCCCTAGAAAATTTTGTACCCTTTCCATTCAGTCCTCACTTCACTGCTTCCCAGAGGCAACACCGTTCCAATTTCTGTTGTCCTGTATTTGTTTATCTCTTCTAGAATTTCAGATACAATCATTATTTAATCTATTATTTTGGAGTTCTTTTATTTTACATTCTCTAATCTCATTCATAATGTATATATTGGCAGTTTGTTACTTAATAGTATATTCTGTTGTATAAATATGTCACAGTTTGTGTATCTGTCCACCTGTTGACAGACCTATGGATGAACCTAGTTTCTCAGCGGGGAGGGTTCTTTTTCACTGTGTAGTTCAGGCTGTCCTTAAACTCATGGCAGTCCTCCTGCCTCAGCCTCCCAAGTGCTGGGATTACAGCCACGTTTCACCACACCTGGCTAGTTTAGATTTTTGAAATAAAATTTTCTGAGGTTTCTTTTGTAACAATGAGAGTTGACTTTTCTCCTGCACATAACAAAGCTGGCCTTGGAGTTAGGGTTAGGGTTAGGGTTAAGGTTAGGGTTATAGGAGTATATTCTCATTATCAGATAATCAGAGAATGTGAGTTACTTTTTTATCCATTTAGTCTTTCAGTGAGTCCTTTCTCAGTGAAATGAGAATAGATTCATATATTTAAATGATAATTAACTCAGTTTGGTTCCATTTAAGATGGTTTCTGTCATTCATTGGGTGGAAACTTTTAAGACTCACAGTGACTTATTTGAAGACTGTCACCTATAAGTTACTCTGTCACTCAGATCATTGCCACTCTTTATTTTTAACCTCCAGTCATTCTGTTATTTAACAAAATCTTCCCTAGGCATTGAGCCGTATAGACACCAGGATAAAATGTTGATTTTGTAATTGGACTTTTAAAAGAGTTTAGTGGGAAAGAAAAAATAATGGGTGTAATTCTCTTTGAGTTGTTATCTGCATCGTTTATCCATTTAGGTAGACTTCAGCAGAAGTGCTCAGAAGTTTGGTTGGCAGGGATGGAAGGGTGTTAGAAAAGCAAGTATGGGAGAATTTAGAAAAGCAGAGAGGACTTGAACAACTGGATTAATTAGGTTGTTATTTGTATGGATGGTAGCATTCTTTGACCAGGGTCTGAAAAATTTATGTACTTTTCCTTGTACTTACTATACTCTATTTTTTTAGGGTCGGGAACTTTTGGCTTCTGCTCCTACAGGATCTGGGAAGACTTTAGCTTTTAGCATTCCTATTTTAATGCAGCTGAAACAGCCCACAAATAAAGGCTTCAGAGCGCTGATTATCTCCCCAACACGAGAACTTGCCAGCCAGGTATGACCTGTAGATATTGAGCTGATACATTTAATGTTTGCTTCAGTAGTCTTTCTTTGAACTTATTTAAAAAGAACTCAATAGAATTAGGCTCATGTCTTCTGTCATAGTTAAATATTATGTATAGTGTTACATATTTTACTACATATGGACCAGTCTTTTAAAGTCTTTCTATATTTTTCTTTCTTTCTTTT